TAGTGAAAGTCAGAACATTTGTGTCTGGCTAAGCCGGAATGATGTTAAAGGAGGAACAAGAATATATTGTGAACTTCGATCCAAGCATTGCATACATTTATGGATTGTCGAAAGTACACATTAGTAAGCTAATTCAAGATTCTGTAAGACTAACTAATCATGAAGTTGTAAATATGAAATGTCCAGGTGACTTAACGTTCCGGCCAATAGTAGGCGTCCCAAATAATAGTACCCAAAGACTTAGCAACTTCATTGATATCATACTGAAACCACTATGTTCTAAAATCAAAAGTTTTCTCCGCGATGATATATATTTCCTACATCGTTTACCTAAGCAGGTAGAACCTGGTAGTACATGGATTAGCTTTGATGTAGCGAATCTCTATAATAACATCAGTAAAGATCTGGAATTAAAAGTTATCAAATACTGAATGGTCAAATTGAAACTGATGTATATAACAGACAGACACAGAGGTGTATCTCAATTTTAATTCATGCCATCCTTCTCATACCAAACGGATATTCCGTAAAATTTAGCTAGACGCGTGTGTACCATTATATAGTTTCACAATCAGATATCAAACAAATACGCCTTAATGAACTTAAAGGTTTTCTAAAAAAAAAACAAAAAGAAACACTAGCCGAGAAAACTAGTAGATGATGCCATTCGAAAAGCTTTAGGTTTAGATCAGAGCAAATTAAAATGTCTAACAACGATATGTAAAAAAAGGGGTCACGAGGAGAGAGAGAGATAAATGGGGTTTAACGTCCACTCGACACAAACCAGGTCATTTCGGGACTAACATATGGTTTAATTTTTTTTCAATAATTCGCTTGCGCGTAGGGGTCTTTAGCAGTGGGAGGAAACCGGGGGACCCGGAGAAAACCCACGAAGTTGGACAGGCAACCCTACTCCTTGTCACGTACAACCGGGGATTCGAAACCACGCCAGTCGACTCAATGACAGATTTTATGATACAGCGCGCGCACGCTAGCCATTCAGCCATCCACCCCATGGTCACGAGGAGGTTGCTTTAGTAACTACTTAAAACCCATCACAAGAAGATGGTAAATCTATAATCAATAATAATAATAATAATAATAATGTATATTTATAAAGCGCATATATCCATCCATAAATGCATGCTAAATCTCCATATTTTTAAAAATAGCCCGATTATGGAAGATATATTAAATAAGACAAAAATAATAAATACTTTAAAGCAACCTCAAAGCCTCATGGGCGTGGATTTAGTGGGGACGGGGGGGGGCGTCCCCCCCCCCTCAGAATCGGAAGGGGGGGACGAATACGTCTCTGCCCCCCCCCCCCATGATTTTGATCGCCATGACAGATTTTCAGGTTTATATCCAGATGATGGTGAGCATGTTTCTACGTATCTGGAACTGAATCAGGACTTGGAACAAGAATTGCCATTCTTCAAGCGCCAGTTTTCGGCCAAATCTATTTCACTTGTGCACGCCACGAAGCGTTCCTCATTATGTCACCTGAAGTGAGGCAGATGTTCTCTTCTGTCGATATTCTCATCTCACACTGCTGAACCTAGATAACAAACTTCATCTCTCAACCCTCCGTATTTCGAGCTAAGAGTTGGTCCTATTAACTTCAACGTAGCAAATGCAGGAACGATTCTCATCCGGCTTAAGTAAACAAAATTGACAATATTTTTCATCAAAACAATGATTGATTATTGTTATTTATAATATTTCTGCCACACTCAACTACAATTAAGCATATAATCCCATCTGACACGGGTACAACCCCCATCTTTTTAAATCAATGCGACAGTAGATTGCTTTTTCCGACATTTTAAATTTACGTCTGTAACACATAAAGGTGGGACCTCGTGTGCAATAGCTAATCAAAGTACAAATCTGATCTGAGTTGCGCAGTAGTAATACGCCGTATTTTTGAACGTCCGAATCAATTTTGATAAAAACAACGCTTGATTTACTTTATTGTCAATATTTGCTGATAAATGAATGTTGTTTCAGTAGATTGGACTTCGTATGTGTAATAAGTACTAATAGTATAAAATTAACTTATTTTTATGATGGTACATGCATTAATAAATAAATTGAGTTTGCCACTTGGAACTAAAGGCATCCAATCGTAGCTAAAAACAAGCACACCAGTATATCTCATCGTTTTCAGTTACGTTCTCGTAGCTGTGCTGAACCCTGCTAATTCCTGCTCAGCCGAGCGATCCTTCAGCACTCTGCGCCGTATCAAAACTTGACAGCGCAACTCCATGCCGCAAAACCGACTGAACCACTTAATGGTGTGACGTTTCAAATGTATAACCACTACGCGAGACTATTTAAAGGGAAACAACTCTATTTCTTAACACCTGGTATCATTTTTTTTTTTTAGGTTGGACAACTTTCGTCATGTATCTTTTCTAAGAGCTTTATGTTTAATTTGAAAGGCTGTCTTTTTTGTAGTTGAGCGTCTGGATATAAAAATAAAAACCGGTTTCTGCAAGAGTAAAATGTGATCTACCTACATAGAAAATACGACAATCTTAAAATGTAGGGTAAATGCCAGTGCAATTGCCAAGGGATCTTGTACGTGGAATACTGATTTGTGCAAGGGAGCTCCGTCTGCGTCCTATCCGATTGAGTAGACATGTTGTCGTTATCAGCTCAACAGCCGCCATCCCCTACAATTAGCGGAAGTAAATGAAATGAAATGAAATGGGGTTTAACGTCCTACTGTTTTGCTCCGAACTGGGCTAATGAAGACGGGCATACGCCATACAGTGTGCTATGAGGGAAATTTTGCCCGGACAGCGGCACTACGGCCTACTCTTATATCGAATTCCAACTGTCAAGGGATCTTTAACGTGCACGCCAATGTGTACACGGGACCTCGGTTTTTCGTCCCATCCGATCGACTAGACAGCTGTCCTTGTCAGCCCCTCCGTCCTGCATCACTGACAAGGGAGAACCACGCCGGAAAATCAGGATGAACTTTCTCGGCCAATGCAGGGATCGAACACCCGACCTCCAGGCTAGCGAGCCAGCGCCTTACCCACTTAGCCACCGTGATCCCCAATTAGCGGAAGCCAGGCTAAGAATAAGACAAATCTCCAATATGCTTCTAGGTACACGCGGTCTTTATAGCAGGACATTCTTCTTGTGTGTCTAGTTCGCTAACCACACAACCACCTTCTCGCATCCCCCCTTAAAAAGTGGGAGGTTTCCCTCGAAGTGTTGATACACCCTATTCGCTAGGCCGCCACAATCACTGATAAAGATGACATCGATGCGAATTAATGAGCCACAAATATTAACTTTTTTCCTCCGACAAATTAAATTCGAAAACATTTTTTTGTATGTATTAGAAAAATAAATAAAGACGTTTGACGTATTTGTAGGTAAAAATTATTTCCTATTTAGTGTAAATGGGTATTAAAATGAGTAAAAGGCTCCATTCCGCCCGAACCAGTAAGGTCTTAGTCATCTTTTACAGAGATATTTGTAATCCTCTGTGAAGCAGATTGGTGCTGATAGTGTGCTTCACAGTGCTTGTAGCATATTTTCCAAATTAATTCAATTTTGAAGTGAAATGAAATGGGGTTAAAAGTCCTACTTTTCTGCACAGACTAGGATAATGTAAACCGCTAATTTGGAATTGGAAGATGTGCAGGCGAAATAATTGTCCCCCCCCCCCCCGAATTTCTCCCCCATGGCATTATATACACACGTATTCACTGGAATAATACCTATCTGTTCTTGCTATAATACATGTAGTTTAAAATAAATGGTGAAAAATGATAGAACATTTTAGTCATTCTGTTCTATCGCGGATGGTCTAATCCATTCCATAACCAAACCCTCCGATGACCTAGAGAGTTCATTACGGGTTTATCATTTTAATATAAATGTGTAAAACTAATTTATATATCATTTGAGCAAAAAAAGGCTTGCAATTGGCATGGCTGCTAACCTTGAACAAACAACAGCTATCATTTAATGAGATACTAATGCATGGAATGGGGTTTACTGTCCTACATATCTGCACGCGGGGGGGGGGGGGGTGTCGGTGGCTGAATGGTTAGCACGTGCGCGCTGTACCATAAAGTCTGTCATTGAATCAACTGGTGTGGTTTCGATTCCCCGGTTTTACGTGACAAGGAGTAGGGTCGCTTGTCCAACCTCGTGGTTTTCTCCGGGTCCTGAGGTTTCCTCCCACAGCTAAAGACCCGAATTATTGAATTAAAATTAAACCATATGTTAGTCACGAAATGACCTAGTTTGTGTCGAGTGGACGTTAAACCCCATTTCTCTCTCTCTCATATCTGCACAGAAATCGGTTAATGAAGACAAGCATATACGCGTGGAATTTCACACGGACTGTGGTGTTTCCGCCTTATCTGTATCGAATTCCAACTGGATTTACTTAAGTGCACGTCAACACCCCCACCCCACATTCTGCAGCCTCGGGGTATAAGTAAAGAAAATATTGGTCTGGGTTAGCTACGACTAAACCCCGACAGCATTTGTGTTATCCAGACATTTGACTCAATGTTTTACCAAATTACGACTTTTCGCCTCAGGACGAACACTTGGAAAAAATATTTCAACTTTGGATGCCAGCTTGGCAGTATTGTTGACGTGTCTGATCTTGAGAAATTTGGTATTTTTTGCCTTTAAATACGTTTTCCAAAATGCTGGAAGCGTATTAGCATCCTGATATCATAATGTGGAAGTCGAAAATTGCTGGTTTCCATGACAAATTCAATCAAGTTACAGCCAATATTCTCGCTTATTATATACATCTTGCGCAAAAAATCAAAACAAAACAAAACAAAAAGAAACAAACGAAAAACAACAACAACAAAGAAAAAAAAACAGTATATAAAAGAAAAATTATAACCGTACGCTTATGAAAAGTGTATTAAAATACATAATATACTATGTATCTAGGTCAATGATCGAGTCTATTATACAGTTTCATATTATTATGTTTATGTCAAGGCAGTCCGAGAAAAATAACAAATGTAGTTATAGGTCATCGATGGAGTTAATACACGGGATGCATTTAATAGAGGTCAAAGGTCATATAAGTAAACCATATTTATTATGTACTTTATCTACCAGTGGTAGTAGACTACAACTGTAATACATATTCACGCGACCTACTTTACATATTGAGGGAGAGAAGGATAAAATTGACTATAAGCAGGTTAGTATAATATACTAACTTTATGTATAGGCTATGTATGTACATTTACTTGCTGTTAACATAGGATAATGTTACCTGAAATACATAAAAACAGTAATTTGTTACTGTGATTATATTGTATTTGCTTCAAGCTTCAGAGAACAGTTCATATGCGGTAAATAAATCGCTAGATAGCCTATTTATGCTTCAAAACATATATTTAACGTATCACATATCGATATACAATAGACTTATATATGTCTGCCATTTTAAGGGCTTTAAAAAGCCTATTTGTGGTTATCCGTTGTCTAACAGCTCGATATTAGATTAGGCAACATTTCCCTCATTGCACACTGTATAGTTTGTGCACGTCTCCATTATAGCCCAGTCAGTAGTTCGTTAAACCCCATTCATTTCATTTCTATAACAGCTGTTTCCTCCTACTGCTAAAGACCCCCACGCACAAGCGAATTGTTGAAATAAAATTGAACCATACGTTAGTCCCGAAATGACCTAGTTTGTGTCGAGTGGACGTTAAACCCCATTTCTCTCTCTAAGCATACTTGCCTATAAACTATAAAATATTATAAGTCGAATGAAATGGGGTTTTACGTCTTACTTTTCTGCAACTAACGGGATAATGAAGAATGACATATGCCATGCAGTGTACTATGAGGGATATTTTACCCGGACAGCGAGGCTTTGGTGTATATTACGATTTTCAAATCTAACGTACTGCTAATAATTTACACGGTACTTAAGACACTTTTCTATAGCCCATCACAGACAAGGGGGGCACCAGGCCGCCAACTCGGCGACCACAACGAGTTGTCGAGACCAATGGACGTTGCAATTTTAAAACGTAAGCGCACACGGTAACCATGATATTCGTCTTGAAATAACCAATAACGTTCATTCTCTTAATGTTGGACTTCTTGCATAGCGTATTAACGAACGTGCGTTTATAAATGTGAGTTATAAATGCTTTAGCGCTTAAAGTTGCTAAACGTGGTTTTTCTATACAGAAACATCCCACATTTTGAAATTAGATTTTATCCAAATTTCCATAATGACTCGCAAAGAGCCATCGCTGGCGTTTTACTGGTGATTTGTGGTTTTCAAGGGACTGATTAAAATAAAAAACCCAAGTAGGCCAGTGCTTGGATGATCGTTAATTAGGAGATTATAGGGTTACTTCGAATATGATAGTGCTTGGATGGCTTCTGAAATGGATGCTAGGAGCCGCCCTTCTCTCTGCTCCCGCCTCACCTCCCGGCACGTCACTGACAACAGTTAATCAGGTTTTTATAACCTATGGTAACATAGTTTGGTGTCTGAGACTTTCCCATAGCACACTGTATGGCGTATGCCCGACTTAATTAGCCCAGTCGGTGCAGAAAAGTAGGATTCAATCATTGTACTTCAAAAAATGTTACTTAAGAATACTAATTTCATAGACCCCAATAATGAATCTATCCACAAAGTAACGATATCCGCGCACCCTTTCCCCTTTCTCCGACAACCTACGTTTTACAAGGGTTTTGAAAACTTCTTCCAGTTCATTAAATATTGCAGTGTGTACAGAAATTTCAGATTTTAATCTGTCGATATGTTTTCGATTGTCGGAGAAAAATAACGTCCTTTTTAAAAAGTGACAAGGACGTAATAATCTGTTTTTGTTAACGTCGTGAAGATACGGCATTCTAATTAATATCTGGGATTGGTTAATTACACGTAACACTGGTCTCTGTTTCAGCTACAGTTTAAAGACATAATGGCCTTAGTTAAAATACCAGATGAAGCGGGGAAAACGATCGCATTTATAGAATTAAATGGCCGATTGTTACCCCAGTTTGATATAGATTGTCTGGAGAATGTTCCTAGTTTACCTTTAAGAGATGATGACGTATTAGTCTGCGCGTTTCCTAAATGTGGTAAGTATTTGTTTGATAAAAACACAACGCAGTCTATATGGAAAATAATCACTGGTTAGTAAGATTTTATAGCACGACGTTTCGACAAGTTTTAAACATATGTTTTTTATTGTGCTCAGGCGCCTATATTTGTTGAATGTAATAATGCACCTGAAATTTAAGAGCATGTGGTGCTTATCTGTTTGACAACCTTGATGATAAGATTATTGGGAGCCGCGGTGCTTCAGTGAGTAAGACGCTGGCTCACTGACAAGAAGATCTTGGATTCACTCCTGGTTTTGGCCGAGACAGTATTTCCGGCGCGGTGGTGAAGGACAGAGAATGTCAAGGACAGTATCTAGTCTTTCAAATGAGACGATAAAACCAAGGTCCCGTGTACACATTTGCATGACCGTAAAAGAACCCTTGATTAATGGAGTTCGAAATAAGAGTCTCAACTGGCCCCCTATAATACCCATGCTATACAAAAAATGTCTGGGAGTGCTCCTGATAGGGGTATGACAAACAAACTCAATGAAGACAGGCTGGAGTGAGTCAATAGAGACTTTTGGCAATCGGAATTTTCCCATCCGTATCACGTATCCGTATGGTATACGTGATACGTTGCGTCAATGTAGTTTTAGAGTTTTGGCAGATTTTCGCGTAGCTGAGCTGGGGTAAGTTCTATTACAGCATCACCACCTGTACTAGTCAAATGCCTAGCCTACAATTTCCCGGAGGGAGTGATGTCGCTCGACAGCCGCAGGGCTATTAAAACATTTTTAATGTCGAATCTTATTAAAAATCTTCGACTTCGACTCGACCTCAATTTTTGGTTTCACTAATGTATCATCGCAGAAAGTTCATACCCCGTTACCATAGAATAAAATAATTTACAGATTTGCAAGGTCCCGCCTCCCTCAAATTAGCACGTAGATCAACCAGCATGCACACAGACGGTAAAAATATGAAAATTCTGAGAAAAACCCGTCAAAAATAATGATTAAATTCCAGTCGTTATCACGGTTTAATCACATCAAATATACACCTTCGTGTTCCAGGATACACATAGATTCTTAAAAATGCTATGATACAACATTTCAGCGTCTAAAAGTAGCAAAAAAGACGGTAAAAAGACGACGAAGTTATACGGACCTTATCCGTATGAAAGCTTTTCGATACGAGCTGCCGTATGCGTGTGCCGTATCACGTATGAGAAATACACACACATTGATGACGTCACACGCAAAATCCATACGGTTACGCGTTACGGACCAGGAAAGTACGCTTGCCAAAAGTCTCTAATGTGCATGGATTGTGTGACGTGTTGTGGGTAGTATCTGGTGTGCGACGTATTCACCACTCGCTAATCTGGAGGTCCCGTGGTTCCCCCTTGTTGATGGTGCAGGACGGAAGTCCTGGCAAGGGACAACGTATAGTCCTTCGGATGGGACGAAAAACCGAGGTCCCGTGTACACATAGGTGTGCCCGTAAAATAAACCTTGGCAAGGGGAACTCGATATAAGAGTAGGCCTTGGCGCCACTGTCCCGCAAAAAATTTCCTCATAGCACACTGTATGGCGTTAGCCCGCCTTTATTAGCCCAGTCTGAGCAGAACAGTAGGTCGTTAAACCCCATCTTATTCCAGTAAGCACTTATTATGACGTAACTATGCGAGGTCTCCCAGACTATTCCCAGTTAATCTTCGTTCTTATTAAACGAATCCCCGTAGCACGCAACGCATTTTGGTTGAGATAGATACACGTGAGCAGTATTGTTTCACATATATTGGGAATTTATAACTCATTAGAAATGTTTTTAAAAAAATATGTGTTTGTTTTACAGGTACACATTGGTTATTTGAGATCAGTCGAATGTTAAAACAGAATACCACAAATGTACCGGTCCAGCCTAAAGATGATTTTATGATAGAATTTATACCGCAGAAAACTCTGGCCTCACTACCTTCACCTCGTATCCTCAATTCACATTATCGGTTCCAATACCTACCTTCAGATTTAAAGAAGAAAAAAACTAAAATAATTTACATCAGACGCAACCCGAAAGATGCCGCCGTGTCATTTTATAACCATTCGAAAAAGTTGTCCAAGTATTATGAATATGATGGAGAATTTAAGGATTATTTAAAACTGTTCGTGGATGGAAAAGGTTTGTGTAAAATATCTCCTTAATCAAAACAGAATCTAAATGAGACACTCTAACGACTGTGGTCCACAGCCTTGAGGCATGACTAAAACTTATTTTCTACGCCGTAATTCGTGTCCATAAGTTCAGTAATAGGTTTATTTGTGTATAATTACAGTTGATTATGGCAGTTGGTTTGAATATGTAAAGGAATGGGAACAAATTATATCTACGTCAGATTTACCAATTTTAGAATTGACATACGAAGGCATGAAGGAGGTGAGTCTGGATACTGGTGATGATGGGGCATTCTGTCTACAGGCCAGGAAAGGAGGACAAAATTCCCCACACGCTTGGTTAACAACCACCCTTCAATAACCATAACCCTGAGCCGGAATTCCCGATAACTATACTACATAAAGATCTGACAAGTTATAGCGATAGGTCACGTCAGGGGTCAAAAGACCGACTTTTGACCTATGACGTCAGACAGTTGATTAACCAATCAGCATTGATGTTACTAGTGGATTACCCACAGTTCCGGGCAAAAAAGGCCAAACACTCGATTCGACAGACCATTTGATTGACTGACCCCTCATTTCAAGCAGAACACGAGTTAAATAACAAGTCTTCCAGCTCCAAGTGTAGTAAAGACAAGTAAAACGAAATTTTGAACTATAAAAACGAAATGAAATAGGATCTGCGTTTTAACCAGATTGCCTGACTTTAGACTGATATGCATTTTGAATTGATGGTGGTCGATTGAAACCGTCCACAAACTATAGTGATGTCCACACACACGTTAGTAAATCCATACTCTTAAGATTGTGGCTGCCCAGAGAGTTTACGGTGCATCTAATCTAAACCTTTTATGGACACCCTGTTCTTTATATTTCCAGGTTTCGACCTGCCGAAACTCCTAGATAACATATTAAACATATCTTATCCATATGCCGGAGTAGAAAACAAACGCCAAATTATGTTAAAGCGACATTGTGAAACTTGATATCATTCACTTCTGAATATTATGTTAGTGTTATGATGACTTGAATAATTTATTAGTCAAAATATCATGGGTTCGTAAGTGAAGGGTCTCAGTTTCACGGTGTACAGAATTGATTTCAATCAAAATTTAAACAAATTCAGAGAGCCCTGTACGTGACAAGTAGTAGGGTCGCCTGTCCAACCTCGTGGGTTTTCTCCAGGTCCTCCGGTTTCCTCCCACTGCTAAAGACCCCTACGCGCAAGTGAATTATTGAAATAAAATTAAACCATATGTTAGTCCCGAAATGACCTAGTTTCTCTCTCTCCCTCTCCCCCTCTCTCTCTCTCTCCAGAGAGCCCTTTATCTGATGGAGTCGTACATAATTTAATGATTTTCAGGGAGTTTAACGAACGAATGTGACATACTAGTATACCTAATTTTATAAGGCTTCCACGTGTGTTTACAGTAATTAGTTTACGATAAATTTGAATTAGACATTCAAAATTAAATCCATTTATTTCGTAGAGTGAAAGTGGTAATGTGTGATTTTATTTTTCAGGACCCTGTCGGAGGAATAAGAAAGATATCTGAGTTTTTAGGCACGACACCAACAGAAGAACTGATTCGAGATATACATGATAAGTGTAGTTTCTCTAGCATGTCGCAACGTAAAGGTCATTTTACCGGAATGGTTGAAGGTCAATCTATTATGTATAGAAAAGGTTGGTGCTATTGAACTAGATTGGTACCTAAAAGCGCATCGGTAATGGAATGGGATGTAACGTCAACTTTTTCTGCACCAACTTGGCCAATGAAGACGCACAAACGCCACGCGGTGACAAATTTTGACAGGACTTGCAACGGTCCTACGCTTTACTCTTATTTCCATTTCCAACTCTCAGCGGATCTTTTATATTTTACCAATGGTATATACAGGACTTCTGATTTTAGTCCTTTCCGCACGACTAGACGCTCTTCCTTGTGTAAATGAAATGGAATGGAGTTTAGTATCTTAACAAACTCGACTAATATAGACGGGCATACGACATACTGTGTGCTATGAGAGAAATTTTGCACGTACATCTGCGCTTTTGCTATGGCTTACTCTTCCAATTCTAACTGTCAAGACTTCTTTTACGCGCCAAACAATGTGTACACGAGAACTAGGTTCTCCTTGCCAGGACCTCCGACCTATACCACTGACAAGAGGAATCCGCACAAACCAACACCGGGGACGAACCCGAGATCTCACTGGAGACAACGCGACTCCCGAACATGCCTTGTGTAAAGATTCTGGTAAAGATACATACATTTTTTATACTGAAACATTAATGTTTCCTGTGCTTAAAGTAACAAGGTCGTTTAAATATGGGCTCGAATAACGATATCTCGAATAATGAAATATATTAACGATACATGATGTCGTCTAGTCATGTAAATATATTGTTTATTTCACAGGTGAAGTGGGTGATTGGAAAAACTGGTTTACTGTAGCCTTGAATGAGTGGTTTGATCAGATCTACGCCCAGAAAATGTCAGATTCGAAATTACAATTCAAATATTCATTATGATGATTTAAACTACAACTGCACAGTGTAATAATAGCTATAATTTTAAATAGCTGTATTAGATTACAACAGTCTTCATTGTGATTTTGCTTCAGTGAATTTAAATGGACTTATCGTTCCTTTCCGTTCCGCCAGTTAAGAAACGAAATGAAATGAAATAGGTTTAACGTCCTACTGTTCTGCTCCGAACTGGGTTAATGAAGACGGGAAATTTTGCCCGGACAGCGGTCTTACGGTCTACTCTTATATCGAATTCCAACTGTCTAGGGATCTTGTTTGTGCAAGCCAGTGTGTACACGGAACCTCGGGTTTTCGTCCCACCCGAACGACTAGACAGCTGTCCTTGTCAGGCCCTCCATCCTGCATCACTGACAAGGGGGAACCAGCTAGCGAGCCAGCGTCTTAACAATTAGCCACCGTGACACCCCCGGGGGGTTAAGAACATCTGATACAAGTTTACTAAAGATACACCAGCCGCAGAGTAACATATCATCTGATAGAAACCTTCTTACGATATCGTCGCCAGATAAGATCATTTGATAAAATCTTACAAACGATAGCTTCCGTGGGTTACAGTCATCTGACAAAAGCCTTCTAACGATACCCTCCACCGGTTAAGATCATCTCTGATAAAAGCTTACTAACGACACCTTCAGTCAGTTAAGATCACTGATAAAAGCCTACTTATGATCCCTCATCCAGTTAAGATCATCATATAAAGTCTACTAACAATATCCTCGCCAGATAAGATCATTAGATAAAAGATTACTTAAGTTGACCTCCGCTAGGTAAAACCATCTGATAAAAGCTTACTTACGATAACCTCAGCCAGGTAAGATCATCCGATAAAAGCTTGCTTACGATAACCTCCGCCATGTAAGATCATAAGATAAAAGTTTGCTTACGATAACCTTCTCCAGGTAAGGCCATCTGATAAAAGCCCACTAACGATGTACTCGCCAGTTAAAATCATCTGACACTCTGATAAAAGTTTACTTAAGATACCCTCCGCCAGGTAAGATCATCAGATAAAAGCTTACTTACGGTACCCTCCGCCAATTAAGATCATCTGATAAAAGTCCACTAACGATGTACTCGCCAGTTAAAATCATCTGATAAAAGTTTACTTATGATACCCTCCGCCAGTTAAGATCATCTGAGAAAAGTCCACTAAAGATATACTCTCCAGTTAAGATCATCTGATATAAGCCGGTTAAGATAATCTTATAAAAAAGCTTACTTACGATATTTACAATACCCACGGTCGGTTAAGATTCAGTGATAAAAGTTTACTTACGATACCCCCCACATCCCCAAAGTGTGTTGTTCCTCGGCTGCCCCCATCATATGGAACTCTTTACAACATGGTGTTAAAACGGAGAAAATATACAGATCTTCAAATGGAATTTTAAATTTATTGACTGATTTATTGATTTATTGATCCAAGGGGAATATCAAACAGGACAATAGAGGTGATACTATAAAGTTACATGATAATAAGATGAGAAAGTTTTGATGAGAGAAAAAGTAATGATGTCATAAATGATCAGCCTCTTGAGGATAACCCATACAAACATGCTTAAATTAAAACTAGGTTTATTTCCAAAGGGGTCCTTGGAGTAGGATCAGGTCATGTATTGTTTTGTATTTATGGATGTATGTGTTAAGTTTACATGATCTATGCAATGAATTATATCTTGTCATCCAATCTTAACGTTTCCTGTTATCATCCACTACCCACAAATTAGAAACAGAAACCGCATACTTCCAAACAAAAATATGAAAGACACAACCAAATAACACCACGGTCGAGTAATGTAACTAAATACAAATAACGTCAATAATAATTCTCTATGATTCATATGACCAAGTAACTTTGATGGGAGTCGCCATTGTGAATATATAGAGAATCTCCTACCAGTCTTTTTGTAACCAAATACAAGTAACGTCAATAATAATTTTCTATGATTCATATGACCAAGTAACTTTGATAGGAGTCGCCATTGTAACTATATAGAGAATCTCCTACCAGTCTTTTTTGATATCAAAAAATATCAACACAAGTTGATAAAGTAACAAAAAATGAGGCTCTGCCGAGTTTTTTTTTACTTTATCAACGAGTGTTGATATTTTTTGATATCAAAAAAGACGAGTAGGAGATTTTATTTATCACCCAATCCCTTATTACATGCACAGATAGATGAATATAATTCTTTGCTGTAGATTTCACTTTTACTGAACATTACGGCGTAGTGATACATCATTTTTTGACAGCAATTCAACCATTGCAAAGTCCTTTATATTGACCCAGTGTTTCCATCAAGGTCAGTTGAATAACAATAGTTCATTTTTAATAAAAAAAAGTTACTTTTGATAAGAAATGAACTGTTCTTTGAAAATAAAAAAAAGTAGTTCCTTTTCAACTGACCAATTAAATTCATGTAAAGCGATATCTCCTAAGGAGACATCGCAGTAGATTATGAAATATGTCACACAAGCGATATCTACTGTAGAATGTATTATTGGGTGATAAAACTTGGTAATGGCGCTCTTCGACATGGCGGATCAAATGCAATCCCATTTAAGAAATAAACAAACATGATTGTTTCGCGTTTATTGTTTAGCGAAAAGTTTGTTGACTGTCTTATTTTAGAGCCGGACACTGATACGAAAAACAGCGGCCACGCGATTTTGTTTTCTGTTTCGTGCTTATTACAATCAACGTGGGCCCGACTTTAAGTAAACGACATACAATAAACATACATGTTTGTTTAGAATTTACTGTTTACTGTTTAAATGCCGCACCTGGATACGAAAACAGCAGATAGACGATTTTGTTGTACGTTTTTATTTGATTCAACACGAATCCCATAGAGACGGCATTAAATAAACCTCCAGGGGCGTATAAATATGCTATTAATTATCAGCTCAAGTTATTGTAATATTCATAAAAAATATGTAATTACGGTTAATGATTATATATTCAATAATGAATACCTTACCTCACAGGAGGTCTAAATCACTAATCCAATGATTCTTGGGAGGGGTTGGTTTAATGCGTACGATTTAGATCAAAAAGGTCTGTCATTTAACGTTAAGGATTTGGGTCGCCAGTTCCCCCCCCCCTCTCTCTCTCCCCGAATGCCCATATGCTAATCTTGGACCATTGTTTGTATCATACATCGTAGAGTTTATTCTTTAGATCATAAGGTGTGTAATTGAGTCATTCGAATTCTGGAAATTAAATTCAACTATGTTAGTCGCGAAATGACCTAGTGTGTGTCGATTGGACGCCCCCCCCCACCCCTACCTCTGTGTAATGTTCTTAAATGTAATTAATTACCTTTAATGTTACAAATATGCAATAACGAGTGTTCGATTCCACAGGAGGTCTAAATCAATAATCCTATGATTATAACTTATTCATTAGTTGGTGCAGGAGAGTAAGACGTGCAACCCCATGACATGATTATATTGATGTAATATGAATATATATATTTTGTTATAATTATTAACGAGACTGGTATACACTTATTATGTTCCTATTGTCCTTAGCCTTAGTTTGGATCATAGTTTGACATCCATTTTTAGAACGCGGCATTTCCATTGTTGCTGTTGTTGTTTATTACGAATTTAACGTCTAATATATACATGTTGATTCAATAAGTTATATACATATCAAAGAATAACAAAAAAGACACTGGTAAAAACATAAAAAAAATATCTTGCATATCAAAGTATCTGCACTTTAAATCACAGTATTAAAATTCGTTGTCTTGGGAAGAGGGGTGGGGCATCTCTCCCTTCGTCATAGTTAAATCAAGTTAAAACATTGCCAACTGACTATATTTATAGTGTAGAATGTAACACACAGCCCGTGAAACTGAACGTTTATTTAAACGTTTTCATGGGTAAAAAAAATGAAATGGGGTTTAACGTCCTACTGTTTTGCTCCTATGCTGGGCTAATGAAGACGGGCATACGCCATACAGTGTGCTATGAGGGAAATTTTGCCCGGGCAGCGGCACTATCGCCTACTCTTATATCGAATTCCAACTGCCAAGGGATCTTTTACGTGCATTCCAATGTATACACGGGACCTCGGTTTTTCGTCTCATCCGAAGGACTAGGCAGCTGTTCTTGTCAGGCCCTCCGCCCTGTATCACTGACAAGGGGAACCATGCCGGAAAATCTGGATGAACTTTCTCGCCCAATGCAGGGATCGAACACCCGACCTCCAGGTTAGCGAGCCAGCGTCTTACCCACTTAGCCAAGGCCCCTGATTGAATATATCTCTTCAGACGATTCACGAGGTTTGCCTGACAGGAATAAAGAGAATAGCACTTATAATTCGATGAAGGATAGGCGTAATCGTCACTAAATCATTTTTTTGTACATGCCTACAACTGTACAGACCATGAAAGGACTAATTTTCCCCATTCACCTTATATTGGGAGTTGGTGTGGATATTTGTTGGGCGTATGCCCGTCTTCATTAGCCAAAACAGAGGACATTAAACCAATTTCAGTTGTACATGCTTACAACTAACTGTACAGACCATGAGAGCATCGATATTCCCCGGTTTCACCGTGTGTTGGGGGTTGCTGTGGATATTTACTGGGCAGCACGAGTGCATCTGTCATAATATCATACAGAACATATAGTCAAGAACTGCCAGAGAGATTGAAATATTCAACAACCATCATGAATGAATTTGAGTTTTATAGCTCGTCAACACCAATATTTTATGTACACATCACACTAAATATGACATATCGTCGCCGGGATCGCAAAACCTCATAGCTCCAAAAACGTAAATTTTACAGGAGAGACAAAAAACTGATTTTTAAATTTGCACTAACGAATGAGATGCCACTGATTACGTTTATGTTACATTGGAATACAACTTTAAGCATATAATTAGGAATATTTGCTAATTCTGCATTATTCGCTTGAAACCAGCATATAAGAATTTTGACAGGCCGAATCTGGGATCTGTGACCTTAATGTGAGGTATTGTGAGCTTATTCTGTGACCTAAATGCGAGATATGAGGTTTTGTTATGAAATATGCAGTATGATTATACTAATATTCAGTTAATCGTTTGATTTTTACCAATATATATTTTTATAAACTTTTGAAATGTTTCTTTCCTTCACATTATTCCAACCTTTGTTAAGAGAATAATATACATTTTTGTGCTCAAGAATTCTTTTATATGGCAATGTAACTCGTTTTAAAGGTGTAATGCTTTAGGGGGATGGGATTGTAATTATGCTGCTATCTTTTGTGTAATATATATACACCTGCTTGTTTAAAGTGATGGCACAGAGATTGCAAGCAGATTGCAAGTACCTGAGCTTGGAAACGGTTAGAATTTCTTAAGTAATATGCACATTCAGCAATTAGTATGATTAAAAGCTGATTTATGACTACAAATTATTCTTGCTTGCACAGACTTATCACCACTTTAAACAGCTGTGCATGCAATCTGATTAAAATACAGATCTGTGTTTCATTTCGTTTTTTATACTTTCGATGGCTACACTACATGAAGATTTGACAAGTTATAGTGGTTCGCGTCAGGGGTCAAACGAGCGGCTTTTGGCCCTATGACGTCAGACATTAATTAATCAATCAGCGTTGACATTTCTTGTGGTTTACCCACAGTTCCGTGCACAAA